TTCTACGAAGCTTGCTGAACTACTACGAAGATCACTGCACTTCTACGAAATTCCCTGGACTTCTTAGAATTTTTTTGATTTTCTGCGAAGTTCCTTGAAGTTCTACAAAGTTTCCTGAAGATGGTCTCTGAACTTTTATGACGTTTCCTGAAACCAAACGAATTTCCACATCTACGAAGGCTTCCCGAATTTTCACAAATCTCCCTGAACTTCTGGGAAATTTTCTGAAGCTTTAGGAAGTTCTCCGCATTTTTATGTGATTTCCCAAATTTCAACGATGTCTCTGAACATCGTCAAAGGCCCGGAAGTTTCAAGAAGATCAATGGAATTAAAGAAATCTTTCTGAACTTGAACGATGTTTCAGAGTTTCTACAAAATTCGCTTATTTTCATTAGACTTCTTCAAAGTTCGATGAAGTTCTGCAAAGTCCTCTGGTCTTCTGCAAAGGTCACTGTGCTGTTACCAAGCTAGCTCGAGTTCTATAAAATTTGCTGCACTTCTATCAAGTTTCCAGAACTTCTAAGAAGTTTCTGGAACTTCTTTTAAATCCTGCAACGTTCCCTGAACATTAACAAAGTTATACAAAGTTAGCTAAGTTTCCTGAACCTTAAAAATTCTTCGTAAAATGAAGTTTAACGAATTTCCTCGAATTGCTACGTAATCCGCTAAAATTCTACAAAATTCGCTGAATTTACTGAATCTATAAGAAATTCTTTGATATTCTGCGAAGTTCCTTGAAGGTCTGCAAAGCTGTCTGAAGAAGGACCGGAACTTTCCTGAAATCAAACGAAGTTCCACTTCTACGAAGATTTTCCGAATTTTGTGCAAAGCTCCTTGAATTTCTACGAAATTCTTTGAAGTTCTAGGAAGTTCACCCAATTCCTTTTGAATTTCCTGACTTTCTACGATGTCCCTGGACATCTACAAAGTCGTGGACATTTTAAGAAGTTCAATTAAATTAAAGAAAAATCTCCGAACTTGAACGAAATTCCAGAGTTTCTAGCAAATTCGCTTACTTTCTTTAAACTTCTTCAAAATTTGATGAAGTTATACTAAGCTCTCTACACTTCTGCGAAGTTCCCGAAGTTTCTGAAGTTCCCGAGTTCCTACAAAATTCGCTTTGTTTCTTTAAAGTTCGCCTAATTTTCACAAATATGTTGAAGTTCTACAAAGCTCACTGTGGCATCGTACTAAGTTAGCTCGAGTTCTATAAAATTTGCTGCACTTCTAACAAGTTTCCAGAACACCTACGAAGTTTCCGGAAGTTCCTTCAAATTCTGCAACGTTTCCTGAACATTTATGAAGATCCTCGAACTTTTACGAAAATATACACTATTAGCTAAAATTTCTACGAAATTTCCTGAATCTTAAACAATTCTTCTTAAAATGAAGTTTACCGAATTTCCTGAACTTTTAAGAATTTCGTTAATTTTCTGCAAAGCTCCCTGAAGTTCTTCAATGTGTCCTGGAGAAGTTCCCGGACAATTTATGACGTTTCCTGAAATCAAACAAAGTTCCACTTCCACGAAATTTGTTCAGAATTTTGAAAAACTCTCTGAATTTCTACGAAATTGTTTGAAGTTCTAAAAAGTTCCCCGAATTCGTATTGAATTTCCTAAATTTCAGCCATGTCCCAGAAGTTTTAAGAAGTTCAATTAAATTAAAGAAAAATCTTTGAACTTCAACGAAGTTCCAGAGTTTCTACAAAATTCGCTTAATTTCCTTAAACTACTTCAAAGTTTGATGAAGTTCTACTAAGATCTCTGCACTTCTGCGAAGTTCCCGAAGTTCTAGAGTTCCTAAAAAATTCGCTCTATTTCCACAAAATATGCTGAAGTTCTACAAAAGTTCATTGCACTTCTGCGATGCTCGCTGTGCTGTTATTAAGTTAGCTTGAGTTTTATCAAATTTGCTGAACTTCTAAAAAGTGTAGAGAAATTCTACGAAAGTTCCTTTAAATTCTACAACGTTCCCTGAACATTTAAGAAATTCCTTATACTTTTACGAAGTTATACATAGTTTACTAAGTTTTCAAAACTTCTACGAAGCTATACAAAGTATTCCAAACTTCTTCGAAGTTTCCGGAATCTTAAAAAAAATCTTCGTAAAATGAAGTTTTACGAAGTTCCTCCAATTGCCACGTAATCCGCTAAAATTCTACAAAGTTCGCTGAATTTCCTGAACTTCTAAGAATTTCGTTGATTTTCTGCGAAGTTCCCTGAAGTTCTACAAAGTCTCCTGAAGAAGAAGCCGGAACTTTTATGACGTTTCCCGAAATCAAACGAAGGTCCACTTCTTGGAAGTTAAGCTCCCTGAATTTCTACAAAAGTTTCCGAAGCTCTAGAAAGTTCCCCAAATTCACAAAGAATCTCCTGAATTTCTACGATGTCCCTGCACATCTACAAAGTCCCTGAAGTTTTAAGAAGATCAATGAACTTGAACGAAGATCCCGAGTTTCTACAAAATTCGCGGAAAATCTACAAAGTTTGATAAAGTTCGACAAAGTTTAATAAAATGTGCTGCAGTTGTTCAAAATTTTCTGCACTTCTACAAAGTTCACTGAAGTTCTTCGAAGATCGCCGTGCTTTTGCTAAGTTAGCTTGAATCGAAGACAACAAATCAAGAAGACTGGCAACTCTTATTTTCTTATACGAACGCTATGAGATCTGCCGCTCAAAGGTAAATGCTTCGAACGCATTGGATAGCAAAATTACATCCTCAGAAGAAGGGTTTGTGTATTTGCTAATTTTTCTATGCGTTGCTTCCACCTTCACTCAAGCGCAGCGCCATTGTATCTGTCACTTGGATTCTGGCAAAGTTGCCAGTCTTCTTGATATGTTGCCTTGAATCCTATGAAAATTTGCTGCACTTCTAAAAAAGTTTTCCCGAACTTCTACGAACTTCCCGGAAGTTCCTTTAAATTCTGCAACGTTCCCCTGAACATTTATGAAGCTCTTCGAACTTGTACGAAGCACTTTGAAATCAAATGATAGTCTCTTGACGTCTACAAATTGCCTTTGACCTTCTTAGAAGGTGCGGCCATTAACTTTTATAAATCCGAAATATTGGAACACCGCCCAAGTAACAATTTAGGTTTTATGAGGGTTCTGGAGACCATGATTCAGACTTGTAGCATGCTTTAAAACCTCGATAATTTGTCAATTTCGTTGAAGATGTTTTGCTAAATACACCTGGCATCCCCGAGTGTGGAGTTGTTTCACGTCGGAGGGAGATCATCTGCCATAACGATTAGATGTTCATTTCAGTGACTTTAGAACATTTTGCCGAATGTAAAACTTTTTGGTTGCATTTTCAGGACAGCTTTGAGTTGTTTTAATTTTAGGGCTATTTCGGTGTTTTGAGAAGCCAGTTAAGCAGTTTTTGAGTCATTTTGGAAACTTCAAGGCCATTTTTGCGATTCTTTACCATTTTGAAATTTCTAAAGCCATTTTTGACGATTCTACGGTGGTTGGATTGAGAGTGCATAGTTTGACATTTCTAAAAATACACGCTAAAACAAATAGCCACATTACAATATTATTCTGGTGGAGTTCATAAACCAGAACGACTTGGTCGAGTGAGGATGTTAATTTACGTTCATTTCAGTGAGTTCAGGACAGTTTTGAGTTGGTAATTTGAGGGCTATTTTGGTGTTTTGATAAGCCAGTTATGCGTTTTTTGATCCATTCCGAAAACTTCAAGATCATTCTGGCGATTCTATACCATTTTGAAATTTCCAAAGCCATTTTTGGTGTTTACCAGCTAATTTTTACGATTCTACGGTAGTTTGATTTAGAGTGCCTAGTTTGACGTTTCTAAAAATACACGCTAAAACAAATAGAAACAGTCGAATGCTTGAATATTACCCTTCTGGCGAAGCTCATAAACCAGAACGGTGTTGTCGAGTGAGGTTGTTAATTCTAGCACACATTTGAAATAGGCGGAACAACCAAACGTAAACAATGGCTTCACACGCAAGTTTCTCGAGAATCAAAACGCATCCAAGCAATCTAACACCAGCATCTGATAGAGTAAACTTCCTATATCAAATGACGCATTGTTAGTTTAGCTGGGTATGTTTTGATCCTCGAGAATTTTGCGTTTCAAGCCATTCCCAAGTAACCACCAAGCCCACTAATTACCCTAAAATCGCCCTATTTACGATATAAGGTAAATATAGGGTTTCCGAACTTTATATCAGCCGTATAGCAGCCTTATATACCAAAAATGGCGATTAACGGGCTTGTTGGTTACTTGGGTTGTTTACGTTTGGTTGTTCCACCTATTTCAATTGTTGGTCTAGATATGTTCATTTCAGTGACTATAGGGCATTTTTTCGAATATAAGCCCTTTTTGCATTTTTAAGACACTTGAGTCTTAAATTTAAGGGCTATTTTAGTGTTTTTATTAAAGGCCTTAAAACTTGAAACTTGAGGACCGAACTTGAGAAAACTTGGCGATTCTAAAGCCATTTTTAGCATTTCCAACCCGTTTTGACGTTTTTACGGTGGTTGAATTGAGAGTGCGTAGTTTGACATTTCTTAAAATACACGCTAAAACAAATAGCCACAGTCGAATGCAAGAATATTACCCTTCTGGCGGGGTTCATAAATCAAAACGACGTTGTCGAGTGAGGTTTTAAACGAAAAAAAAAGTTTACGAGTTGATGGAAACTCAAAAGACCCAACAAACAATTTGAGTTGAATAAAGGCTGAATAAGCTAGTTTTTAGCAAAAGAAGTATATTTTTGTCAGAATAAGGTTGTTGTTGTTAGGGACCCTCCAGACTAAATTGAACTAGGTATTTAAATTTCCTCAAAAAAGCCCATTCCCAAACATCTTCAACTCACACGTTCGCACATACGGAAAGCAAAAAAACATAAATAGGTAGATGAAAAAAAAATATATAAACTCTTCCTCTAAAAAAAACAAACACATACGATCAACAATACTGATAATTTTGCACACGATACTTATCGGCATCCCTTTTCTTGTCCCTCGTTCAACTCTCATTCCACATCGATCGACCACATCAGCTTTTTCCGATCCAGCGAGGTAAAATCGGCCAGTCCTTCCCCGGCCGCCAGCGCATACTCCTCCTCGTCCTCCTCGTCCTCGTCCTCGTCCACTTCCATCCTGCCACACACCATCATCCGGTTACTGCTGCTATCATCGATGCTGTCGTAGAAATCGTAACAACCCTCGGAGCTGGTCGTCGTCGTGGTGGTCGCGGTGGACGTCGCCAGCGAAATCGTCGTCTGTGCCGCCTCCTGCTGTTCCTCGTCGGCAACCGTCGTCGAGCTCTCGCTCACCGACTCCCGGTGTCGGATCTTCATCACCCGGAAGCCGTTCGCTTCCTCGTCCGGCTCGATTTCGTACGGATTGCGGTAGTAGATCAGGCAGCTTTGCTTATCGCCGCCGCTGTTCTCCGACGACGTCACCGTTATCAGACTGTTCTTACGCTTGTGTTCGCAGTAGGTCTTCTCACTTCCGCCGCCGCTCAGCTGTTCCCAGGTCTTGAGGATATTCGGGTTGACCCGTCCGACGAGTCGGCACTTACCGTCGGTGTCATCCACGGCCTTTACCGGACTCGTCTTCGGCGAGTGGAATGCAATCATCTTCGGTTTGGGCACGATCAACGATTCCTTCTCGCCTTCGCCCATCTCCTCTGCCTTGGCTTCCAGCAGTTCCATCGAGTTGTCTTCAATATACTTGACCTCGACCTCGCGGTTCCGTTCGTTGCCCATGCTCGAGACGACACTGCAGAAGGCGACGTTCTCCTCTTCGTCCATCAGGAGAATCGGATGCTTGTAGGCCAGTTCCAGCTGTTGCTGTTCTTCGGCGGAACCGGTTGGCGTGAGCTTGGGATTGAAGATGGCCGGAGCCTGCTGGCTTCGGCTTTTGGCAGCGAGGTACTCGGCGATGAGATCCCGCGAGGGAGCAGCTGTGGAAGATGAATGCGACTCGATCGTTGTGATGGTGGTCACCGACGAGGGGGATGATCCGGCCGATGACGACGAGGATGACGAACTGGAACATGGCGGATGGTGGACCACCGGAGAGGACGAGGTTATGATCAGGGCCGGTGCAGTTGGTGTCCGAGGGATAGGAAGATTGCTAGCATAACGGCCCCGTGGCGACTTCGGCCCGATGGAGGTGATTTCTAGCGGTGGCATCAGCGTTGGTTTGGCCAGTCGGAAAGTGTTCGTTCTTCGGGCCTATGGTTTCGGGTGGGTTGGAGAAGAATGAGAAAGAGAAAACAGAGAGAGAGAGAAAAAAAAAAAGAAAAATTGTAGTCAAATACTGGCAGGATGGCACTGGAATCGGATTCGGTAAACATAAATGAGTGAGAGTGAGAGGAGAGTGTAAAAACTGGCAACGAATATTAGAAATATGAGAAATAAGGAGTGTATAACAATGGGTGCAACAAAATGCTTCAAACAAAAGATGAGCTCAACTAAGGAAGGGGGTAAGAAAGGTAAACAAGATTCTAGTGTGCGATGCAAAATTTGGATATTTTTACTTTGCGTTGTTAGCGTGCCCCATCACCAACACGGGCTCGTTACGATTTGCTTGCTTCCGCTCTTTTTTTTTGTGTGTAGTACGCATGCTTTCTACTACGAAACTTATAAACTATGTGGAATGGAATGATTCAGTTGGACGCAGGATCCTTCGAAAGACGATTACTTCTAGCGCGGAGGAGGAAACTACTGAGAGCAGTTGCAGAAATATTCTACCAACAAACACAGAGTACATCACACACGATTCCAACACGAATGTCGGACGGCAAGGGGTACCCTAACCTCAAAAATCTCTTTCTCGGTCTCAGAACCTCGAGGCGTGTGATGCTGCCCAACCAAGGAATCGTTAATCTCAAAAACGTAAATTACTCTCTCTTTATTTAGCCTTTCATTCGAGGGATTTTTGCAAACGGATGCAACTGAAAAAAAGAGAAACGGAATCTGGTAAGTAAATAAATAAGCTGGGTTGTTTGTAGTTAGACAAAAAAAAACATCAACAACAGGGGAACTTAACAACTACGGCTAAATGGAAACAAATACGAATAGGCTATTAGTGTGGTACGGGGACTACGGAGTTCTACGACTATTGAAAACGAAAACTACAACAAGCTTTAGTGAAAAAGCAAGCGTTAGGAAGCTGGGGTAGTTTGTCGTTAGTGAAGCAACGCAAGTGTGAAAGTTGGTTAGTAGTAAATAGATATCGGAACGAAATTACAATAAATGATAGAAATGTTACAAATAAGTACAAAGATTTTAAAGTGTTCTGATTTACATTAGAGTGTACAGTTTGGCAGCTCTGCGATCTGGGAGTGCTCCAGTCAACGCAAGCAACTTCGGTTGTGAACCACTTATTCACATTCGTACAACATTGTGACGCCCATTCAACTCACTATTGTGGGTATTGATTTTAGAGTGTATCGCGTGATTGTTTTATATTTGATCTGTCAACATAAATACTCACCACCCACTGTTAGAACAACGAACAATCGTAACTGTTGGAAGATGATTTCTAAAATTGTATAGGAATTCTTGGGTGATTTTGTTGACCTTTTACAACGGAGAATCGAATGGACAATAGGGTTGTTTAATTTCGAAAAATGTGCCGATCTTCTCGATCATCGATCGATCATCTGAAAGAGTTTCGTTTTCTGAGCACACCAATATTTTTTATCGATCCCATAGAAATGCATCTCGATTTTTAAATCAAGATTTATTTTTTTTTATTTTTGACACTGACTCGAGGGGCACTATGATGCTGACGGTTTTGCTACACACACAAAACGAAAATTGTTGCAGTAAATTTGACCTTTCAATTATTAATTCTAATTAAACAAATATTTAATACAACAAGGTAGCTTTCAAACCAAAAGTAAATCTTTTAACTTTACCTTGTAATTTTAAAAGTGCAAATTTTCAAATCGAAAATTTGTTTTGCAGTCAAAATCTGTCAAAATGACTTCTTCGTGGATAGATATCTACCCATTTCTGGGTAGTTTTAGAACAGCATGTGTGTGTAGAAAAAGCAAATGGCACAAAATGGCAACATTTTCAACTAACTATCCTCGAAGAGATCCTTACTTTAACCACTGGCCGCGTACTTCTGTATTTGCGTAGTGTGAAATCCATCGCTGGGCAATGGAATCCTGCCGGAAAAGGGCATTTTTTCCGCCGAAGGAGGAGAAAACCAGATGAAAGTCATTATCCCATTTTTACTCAAATCTCTCATGAAATTTCCAACGTGAATAAAATTTCAATCCATCCCATCTATTCTTACTAACTCAAAACTTATCCCTTCTGCCTGCAAGCACACAAATTGTCAAGCAAGAAGTGCAGTTTCTTGCAGTTTTCCGGTCAACTGCGAAGCACTCTGTCATACTGGGGCTATTCTTAAACTACGTAGACAGTTCAGGGGGGGGGGGGGGGGGGGTTGTTGACAATTATCCACGGCTCATACAAATTTTAAAATTTTTGTATGGACAATTCAGGCGTAACATTTGATAACGGCACAAAAGCTTTTGTAAACAAACTTTTTAAGGCCCTTTACACGCGAACCAAAGTACGCTTACAAAAACCAACAACATCATTGGATAGCGGCAACTCTCTCCTTTCCGAAAGTGGTATTGGTTTGCGTGGGCGTACGTTGGTTAACGTGTAAAGGGCCTTAGAAAGTTTGTTTACAAATGGTTTTGTGCCGTTATCAAATGTTACGCCTGAATTGTCTACACAGGGGGAGGGGGGGTTCAAGAATCCTAAAAAAACCGTCTTCGTAGTTAATGAACAGCCCCACTCTCATACTAATGTCCCGGATACTAAATAATAGGTTAAAATAGACTACGGATCTTCACGCTATTTCAAAACTACCCAAATTTGGGTAGAATCCACCCAGATCGGACAAAACTGAACCTACCCAAAAATGGGCAAACTGTGTTGGGAGTGACAAGTTGACAAATCAACAACATTGACATGAATCCGATCGCCGTTGTTCATTTGTCAACTTATCACTCTCAACACAGTTTACCCATTTGAGTAGTTTTGAAATAGCGTGTGCGATGGGACTTGACAATCGGGTAGCGATTTCGAGCCAATTTTCTGTCAAATCCGAACCCGTTGCTGATTGGTCGATTTGACAGTAGCAATCGTGGAATAAAAAGGTGAGATGTATCACATCAATCTGACTGGCAGTGATGCCGGAATCATTGTTGACATCAATGGCATTGTTAGTTGTTTATATTTGCGAAAGGCAAGTTGGAAAATAGGGTCCACGGTGTGCTTAGATGGATATTCTTATTTGTTTATGGTTGCTTGTATTGTGTTAAGCAAAAATGATGTACAAGGTGCTAAACTGCGGTAGAAACTCCGAATCAAAATCAAATTAAAATATAAAAATCATTCTGCAATCCTGGCATCATCGGTCAACCCCGTCAAACACCATGCATCCAAACACCCGTCAAACACCATCCATTGGGGAAGTCCTGAAGGAGGCAAAGGACCAAGGTCATCACGCGGAGATCGTCTCTCTGGACATCTCCAAAGCGTTCAACCGAACATGGACACCAGCCGTATTGAAGAAGCTTGCTGATTGGGATCAGAAAGGACACATCCTTCACTTCGTCCGCAACTTTCTGACCGACCGATCTTTGCGGGTTTCGGTCAGAAACGTGCAATACGGAAGTTTCAGTGAGGAAACTGGAGTGCCACAGGGTTCGGTGATCGCGGTCACCCTCTTCCTGGTGGCCATGAATAGGGTCTTTGACCAACTACCCAAGAACGTTTAAATCTTCGTCTACGCTGATGACGCCCCCATTGTAACGGTGGGTCCCACTCTGCAGAGGACGAAACTGAGAGCGCAAGCGGCAGTCTCTTCAGTGGTCAGATGGGCTGACTCTGTTGGTTTCCAGCTTTCCGCCGGCAAGAGCGTGCCATGCCATATATGTACCACCAGGCATCGCAACAACGGACAGCCCATCAAGATTAAACAACAAGCAATACCGACCAAAAACACCGTGAGGGTCTTGGGAATGCTCCGCGATCGGAATTTATTCTTTGAGCCGCACTTCCGACAAGTAAAGAAGGACTGTCGCAGTCGGTCCAACCTGATTAAGACCATATCTCGCCCCCACCGATCCAACAATCGCGAAATCCTATCTAAATCTAAATCTAAAAAAAAAACCGTATGTATGGGTACTTGATAGAATTTTCAACTGTTTCCTAAACCGGAAGCCGCCATTATGGATTTAAAAATGGCGTCAGTGATCGATTCCCATGTCCAGATGTCATCCAAAAATACCCATATTAAAGGATATTTGACAATATTTCCCACATTTTCTTGAACCGGAAGCCACCATCATGGATTTCTAAATGGCGTCGCATATCTATTTCCAATCTCTAGACGTCACCCCGTTTCCACAAATACCCATATTGATGGGTCGGTATCGGTTTTTCCCAAGCCGTTATCTTGGAATTCCAAATGGCGTCGAATATCGATTTTCATTTTCTAGATGTCATCCCGATTCCAAAAATACCTATATTGATGGGTATTTTACAGCATTTCCGAGGGGGATGTCACATCTAAATCTCAATTCTAGCTGCTCGAAGAATCTCACACTAGCAAATGCAGGAAATCTTCAGAATCGTCATCAATCTTCTTTCTATCTACTCGGTGTGCGAGTAGCTAACCATACCAAAACTAAATCATTCCTACAGCGTAGACTCGTCGTAGATAGAGTCATTTCACTCGAGTATTTTCCACTTTTTCTTAAACTGGAAACCACCATCTTGGATTCCAAAATGGCGTCTCATATCAATTTTTGATCTCTAGACGTCACCCCTAGGGGCGTCTCACTTTTGCAATACAGATTCAATATGCATTTAATTAAAAAAAAAATCGTTTGTATCAACCATTCTGTGGGATGTGAACATCAAAACAAAGCATGCGCTTTTTTGCTGACACCTCTGCATGCATCGATGCGAAGATAAACAAACACAACAGGAAAAGAAAACTCGTCGCTCTACACGATTTCGGTGGAGTAGACAATTCACGGGAAATTTCCTGCAACCTCCTCCGGCAGCAACGAAAATCTCCAAAGAAATCCTGCAGAAGCTCCCTCCAGAACTTCCACTGCCAACATTGAAATCACGCAAAACCTGCTCCGCCGAAAACGCGAGACAACTCCGTCGAAATTCCGTAGAACCTCCGT